GTTAAAAAAAAATACATATGGTTCAGAACGGATTAACCTTATTTACATTGAACCTTATGGGAAAATTTGATTCGGTTGGCGACCAATTCGGCTCATGACCAGAATCGTGGAACGAATTAAGTTTGTGAACCGAGGTATCACTGTATAGCCTAACCCACAAGTCAAGAGCATCCACTCCCTCACTCCCTGAGAGCTGTCTGTGAGAGTTCTCAGGCTTTGTGAAAACATGGCCTATTTGGGAGGCCATTGCACAGGGGAGGGGCCATCACAGGAAATATTGTTTCCAAGCTCTGCTCCCCTCGGTTCCCGCACATGAGGGACTGAAAACTTCTCCTATGAAAAGCACAATCGACAAGTTGGTGCCACATCCTGTTGCAAAGTGATGCTTGGAATTCTACCCGGAGAATGTGTATTTGCTCTATCTTTCATTGCTTCCCTACCAAATATTGTCCCACATGCATCTCTCTCAATCTCTTTCTCCTTCATTTCTTTTCAATCTTTTACTATGTTGTATAAAATTCTTCTGGGTGTTCAACTCCAGTATTAATTTACATAGTGATTTTTAAACGGTGAGAGAAAATGAATGAAGTAAAATAAACTTATGAAAAAAAAAGTAGATGTGGTTTGGACTCTGGATATGTCCACTCTTTTAGTTGATGCAAACACTTTTCCCCCTTGTCCCTCCAACATAGTCTCCCCACAGCATTTAGTGAATAACAGGTGCCCACCACAGTTAAAATTCACAGTATTTCCGGCTTTAATGTCAAGATTTTTTCTGCCCTTTTGGTACCTCTTCCTTCCTGAAATGAAGTTCACAAGTTTATACATTTCCTTTTTAAGTTCAAAGAGGAATTAAAGAACATGAGTGACCTGGAGACATCAAGAACACCATAGCATCAAAGTCTGGTTGTCAGCAACAACTTCCTCACAATTCCACCACTCATACATCTCAGGAAAAAAATACAAAACTATTCCAGAAGCCTTGAAAATATAAGACTGGAGATTTGTGGGCTGCAATTTTCACCTTCAATATCTGCATAAATCTTTTGCTTCAGACGTGTTGCAATTCTTTTGATGACCAAGGAACACATTAAGTGACAGATAACATGGTCACTGATTGGGTCACAAGGTCAAGATCATAGAAAACATATCACTGGGTCTTTTTATCAACAGCATTCATCTGCAGATTTGGGGGAAACTGACTTTTTAAAAAATGCTTTCCATTTTTATACTTTTACAAATGGCTTTCACAGAACAAAAATGACTGTTTTGTTCAGAATAAAACTGAAAAATGTTTGAAGATAAGTCACTGAAAATCAAAATGAAACTGTGTGAATGGTTAAGAAACAGAGGAACAGCTAATGCTGTATGTATAAGATAACGATGACTTTTGAGAATGAATTCTCATTGTTCTATATTTGGGATCAATAGCAGTCATAATCAATTAAGCTTTCATCAAACTGAAGCTAGCATACAATGAAACATTTTAAAATTTAAACTTTTTAAAAAACAAAGTCTGCTAGATCCCAGCCATCTCTTAATATAAAACATTTGGCCTTTAAAAAAAAATCACCATCACTGCATCAAATCACTTGATGGTGTCTGCTATATGAAGTTTGCTGTCCTGCTTTAATGAATGAGAAGTTTTTGCTGATTTGATGTTGGGGTAGGAGATTCAAATGAACATCTCGTATATTTCAAACAAATGTGGCAATCTCAGAAAGCTACATGTAGGTCCTCCTGCCAATACATCTGCATGTTCAGTAGATGGATGAAACGTTCCTCTAAGCAAGGCAGAAATGAACCTGGAAAAATCAGCATCTTGGATAGTAGAGCTTCTGCAGGTTGTAGCAGACTGCTGAATCTGCAAGGCAGGAGGTCTCAAACTTCTCACCCTAGAAGCCTCACCTCATCTTCTGCTTTCGGGAAGCAGCACCACCTATCTTCTAGAAAACACCACCTGGCATCCATTCAAGCATGGTGTGTAAGAGAGACTGGGTCTCACAACTTGTGCTGCTTTCTGACAATCAAAAGGTAAAATAAAAGAGTTGAAATAATTTCTGTATTACCGCACTGGGCAGAATAGCATAGAGGTTTGTGGCTGGAGGATTTGGCCATGCCTTGGGAGACAGACCAATCTCACAAGAGATAAATAAAAACAAACTCTATTTAAATATTATTAGTAAACATCAGGTCAGTCCATAATAAGGCCAAGTCTGTACATTATATAGTGATGGACAAATGAGCTGAATGGTGTGTGTTGCTGTAGAGAGCCTTAGAGATGAGCTTGGAGAAACTATGCAGCAACATTTACAAAAATAAGACATGCTTTAAGCCTGGGATATGAGAAAAACATAAAAAACAAAGCAAAACAATTTGGCTCCACTCTAACTTCCCAGAAAGGGAAAAGACAGTCAGGCTTTCAAGATTCTATTACTGTAACCTATATCAATAAAGTGTACTTCCAGTCAAACTTGCAGAGTCTGACTAAATGACAGTCCAAATCATCACATTTCTCTCCTTCTCTAGCACAGATATGGAAAAACCTCTAAACCACATGCTCATCAGCAGGGTATCAACATTTTTTATTTTGATACCCTGTTGAGAAGAACATGAAGTCTGGTACGTAGTTGAAGTTTTAAGTGGGTTTGGCAGCAAAGAATTTCATAATCCTGAAAAACTGCAGGATTTTCATTAAAAAAAAATTCTGATCAATGGACTAGGTCATGGAAAGTCAATTCCTTAAGTCAATCTAACATCACTCTGATTTTTCCAGTCATACCTGGCAAATGGCATAATGAGGAGAACATGCAGACAAACTCCTCAGGTGACACTAGTAATAGTATCAAATGTTTTTTATCCCACGGAGCGAAGAAACAGACCTCTCCCCAAAGCTTTTAGATACTGATATTGTTCAAAATGCTGGTTAAAAGACTTATGATGATTAATGGCTAGTCTAAGCCACTAAAAAGAATGGACGGAGTCTGAAAGGAGGAAATGTGGTAGATTGAATCCAACTGGAAAAAGCCTGAGGTTTGCAGCAGAATGGCAGTAAGCAGATTTTGGGCAATAACTAGATCCATCCAGCATGTAGCCTCTACCTTCTTGTCCCTGTTCTCTTCCTTCTCTCACAGTCATAGGAGGTCACTTCCAAAGAAGGGACAGAGATATTTTTCTGTCCAGCCTCCAACAAGCTTCTGTTTTATCATGCTGGCTGCAGAGAAAGAGAAGACTCTCCTGCCAAGCTAATATCAACAGGTTATTAGTTCAAGTAAGAAAAAAAGCATTTTACATCAGAACAAGAAGGAAATTGCTTTGTGGCAACTTCTGCTTTACATAGTAACCAGTTGATTACATTGAATAACAAGCCCCGAGAAAAGGTTCATCACACCTCCATTGCCATGCTGTCAGATACACTAATTACTCTGCATTGCTGCACCACTGAAGGACCAGGTTAGGGACAGATCGTCATGGAGAAAACCTATCTGTGTGGTTGCTAAGAGTTGACAAAGTCTTGATGGCACATAATCAGTCAATTGGGAGTCAAG